TACGGTATCAGTGTACATATGCACCAGTTGTATTCACAGTGACATCTCTTTGTCAGACAGTTTAGAGCAGTCACACATATTTTTGGAATCTGGCTAAGGAAAAGTTGAACAGGGGATATAGTTACTGATATACATTTATGTAGCTGCAGTTATTTCCACCCATAGTTACAGCTGTCCATCCAGGGGACAAATAACTTGGAAGACTACTGGCTTCTCAACCAGTAACGTGACATGAAGTTGCACGGCCAGTGAAAATAATGTGATATAAAAGTAATCCATGGAGTCTATCTTTGAATGAGGTATTTAGGTAGTTTTGGAAGAAACAGGGTCTTATATTCCAGGAGCCATGGGCAGGCTACCCCAAAATGTGCCCCCTTGGCATATTGAGTATTTTAAGTAAAAGTTACTTAGGAGACTATTCTAAGTAACAGTACAAGGACATTCAGACCCTCCTCTGTCCCCCTGAAAGCAGGAAATAAAATTCCCATATGAAAAATACCCTCCCTATGCTAAGAAGTAAAATGACATCCTTATCATCAGATATGGGGACCTTAAAGCTGAGAAAACTGTGGAAATAAATCTTGTTGCTTTTTAAAATAAGATTATTTATTCATTTATTTATTTGAGAAAGAGAGCTCACTCAAGCAGGTAGACAGGCAGAGGAGAGAATCTCAAGCAGACTCTGTGCTGAGTGCAGAGCCTGTTGCTGGACTCCATGTGGGGCTCAATCTTATGACCCTGAGATCATGACCTGAGCTGAAATTAAGAGTCAGACACTTAACTGACTGAGCCACCCCGGCACCCCAACCTTGCTACTTTTCATTTTAACTATCTCAGCCCAAATTCTGTTTAGAATTCCTTATGCTGTATTTTCTTTATCCTGTCAATTTCCTGCAAATTTATTTTTTGTTGGTCTAAAATATATAAAAACTGCCTGTTTGGGTCATCTCTTTAGGTCTCAATTTCAATATTGGGCCTCCAAGTACACTTAATACAACTTTGGTCTTTTTTCCTGTTGATCTGTCTCATGTCAATTTAATTCTTAAACCAGGGAGAATAACACTGGGAAATGGGGTACAGAGGAAATTTCTCCCTCTCTAACAATATGCACAAGTCAGAAGTTAATCTATGTATCATTTAGATGGGTAGAAATATTATGTTATTTCTCTGGATTTTGTGATGTTTATGGTATTCATCAGCTTTTAAAATTGGTAATTTGTTACTATTTCTCCATTCTAAATAAATTTCTACTTTCATGCCCACTTTTATATGCATAATTTTGTATTTTTTAAACTTTCTATTTTTATTTGGTCAAATGTCATAATATTTATATAGGCCAATCTCTACTCAACACAGAGTATACTTATTTTTTTTGTATGTTTATATTGTATCATTTAAATTATAAGGACAGGAAAGATAGCATAAAAAACTTACCGTTCTTGGGATGCCTGGGTGGCTCAGTCAGTTAAGCATCTGCCTTCAGCTCAGGTCATGATCCCAGGTTCCTGGAATGGAGCCCTACCTACATCGGGGGCAGGGGGGGGGTCGCCTGCTCATCAGGAAGTCTGCTTCTCCCTCTCCCTCTGACTACTTCCCCTGCTTGTGCTCTCTCTCTCTTTTCCTCTCTGTCAAATGAATAAATAAAATCCTTAGAAAAAAATAATAAACTTACTGTTCTTGCCATATCATAGTCAATGTCATTTTAAAAAATATTTGTTGAATGCCTATTCTGTGTAGGCATTATTCTAGGAGATATCTCATTTAATCACTAAACAAAAATTTTCAAAATCTCTCAAATAGGGTCTCTTTTCTTCCCTCTGTAATATTTTTGTAGTTTTATTGAAAAATAATTTACATACTTTTCTGTATAAGTTTAAGGCATACAACATGTACCACAATAGATTCAGCTAACACCCATCTTCTCATACAACAAAAAGAAAAAAGAAGAAAATACTTTTCTCCTTGTAAGAAAGATCATCTCTTTTGCTATGAATTTTAGTTTTTGTTTTTTTAGATTCCACTTATAAATGACAGATTCTTAAAGAGATCCTCCAAGACTGTGTTTCAGGCCCCACAAAACTTGCTTTCCCCTAAAATAAAGTTTACCAGAGGATTCTCATTCCTACTTTTCTGTTGCTACTACCTCATCTCCACCCCCACCCTGCCTCACTGCCACAGTTAACCATTTCATTAATTTCTGATTTCCTCTTTCTGTGATTCTTTTTGTAAAATAAGGCAAATATGAATATATACACATATGTATTCTTCTTTTTTTTCAAGAGAGAGCACGAGCAAGGGGCAAGGTCAGAGGGAGAGAGAATCAAGCAGACTCCATAGTCGGTGTGCAGCCCAACATGGGGCTCTATCTTACAACTCTGAGATGATGACTTGAGGCAAAATCAAGAGTCATATGCTTAACTGACTAAACCACTAAGGTGTCCCCATATGTATTTTTACTTAACCTTTTATTTTACACTGATGGTGGCATGCTGGTGTTCATTTTCTTATGCAGACATTTTTTTTAAGTTATCAAATCTATCACTATTTTCATCTGATTTTCTGGATTTTAGTAATAGTCATCAAAGACTTTTTCTATATTGGGGTTATAAAAAATTATTTTCTTCTAGCACTTTTAGTTTTCAAGTTTTAACCTGGTATACACCATGAGGTATATATCCACTTTCATCTGTTTTCAAATGGCTGTCCAGTTGCCCAAACACCACTTATTAAAAACTTCACCCTGTCCCCCAGCATATTGAGATGTTATCCTAAGCATACAGTAATGTTTGTATGTACTTGGCTCTATTTATAGATTAATTCTGAACATGCTGCTCCATGGATCTATTTGTCTGTTCATCTACCATTGCCACATTGTTTTAATATTTGGTAGAGGCTGGCTGCCCCTGTAGTCTGCAATTCTTACTGTTTATTTCATCATAAAAACTTGAGAATCAACCTGCCTAGCCTCAGGAAATACTTGGGTTTTAAAATTAAGATTGTGTTAAATTTTACACGTAAACTTGGAGAAAACTGACATCTCTGTGATATCGAGTCATCCTATCCAAAAAGGAAGGATTTCTTTGTATTTGTTCAAATCTACTTTTATATCTTCAGAAATGTCTTATAATTTTCCTCATGTAGGCTTTTGTACACTTTTTGAGTTTATTCCTAAGCGCTTTTTTCTTTTCTGTTATTGCAATTAACATCTGTATCTTCTAGTTTGTCATTGTAAATTCAAAGGCTATTTTTTGTATGTTAATTTTATATCTTGCTCCTATATAGAATTCTCATATTGCATGGATTTAAGACTTGATTCTTTGGGTTTTCCAAGTATGCTACTATGTCATATGACCTACAAACAAATTTATTTTCCAATTATTTTCTTTTACAATTCCTTTGGCTCGGGATCCCTGGGTGGCGCAGCGGTTTAGCGCTTGCCTTCGGCCCAGGGAGCGATCCTGGAGACCCTGGATCGAATCCCACGTCGGGCCCACGGTGCATGGAGCCTGCTTCTCCCTCTGCCTATGTCTCTGCCTCTCTCTCTCTCTCTCTCTCTCTGTGTGACTATCATAAATAAATAAAAAAATTTTAAAAAAATTCCTTTGGCTCTGATTTTTTTTTTCTCCTGAGCCCTAATTATTTTTTCCAGACCCAAGAGTGCTGAATGGAATGATGGACAGGGGTCTTTAGGGAGGTGGGAGAGACTGTGACTTAGAGCAAGGTAAGAGTCTTCGACAAAAGTGGGAGACACACATTTCCACAGAGGAGGCTGTGCAGTTTGAGCCTTTGGCTTGTCAATCTCTGGAGAGAGGAATCACCAGGTGGGGATGAGTCCTGGTCTGAGGAAATAGCTAGGGCTGGGAATGAAGAAAGGCTATAACAGCACCCACTTTATTGCTGTGGAAGGTTGCAAAGCTTAGCATAGGGCCAAACTCACCCCAAACTAGTCTGGTTCCTGATTTTGGTAGTAAGACAAGGGACAATTCATTCACAGTTTGCTGCAGATAAATGAATAAACAAATGTTTCAGGAGACCTGTAATTCTGCGGTAAGGAGTTAGGTAAATATTAAGAATCCTTCTAAATAAACCAAAGCTCCTTGCCTTCAAGGAATCATTTTATTTTCGCTCTGTATCCCTGGTTTTGCATGTTAGCAGCAAAGACCTGAGGATCTTCAAGAAAATACCAGTCCCAGTCAACTCTTTTGACTGGGGATGGTGCCCCAGCATAACTGCAGTGTTTGAAAGCTCCCAGGTGGTCGAAGTTGGGAGTCGTGTGCCCACTCCCAGATGTGCGGATGTGTATTTTCTGTGTTTGCTTCATTGCTGAGGCCGCAAGTCAGCCCAGCTGTCCCAGGAGTGATATTACTTTCTTAACTCAAATTCGGAGCGCAGCCCAGCACCTGCATTTTACAATTTAGATTCCGCTGGTTTACTCGGTGCCTCCTGTGTGCCTGGGCAGGGCCGAACACTTGCAAATATGGGCCGCCTGAGGCTTAACCAGGTGAAATGACTTTCACCTTTTTGTCTGTCGTAATCACCGCCGCATCCGCAGAGCCTAGACTAGTGCCTGGTACACATAGGCTCTTGGTAAGTATGTGTCTGAATTAACTGCCTTATCTGACGCCGAAACGGACGACCCTGCATCATTTTCAATGAACACTGGCGCACTGAAACGCCTTTCTACTTCTGACTTCTGGAGCCAAGCCCTCTTTACAACGGTAGGGTCTGAGGCAGGAGATGACACCTCGCAACGAGCACCTCCTCCACCTGGCCCCACCTTTCCAAGGACCGAGGCCTGCCCTAATAAGGTAGCAAAGAGAAGTGGCTCCGGGTCACGTGACGCCAGCGGACCGCCCCCCCGGCACTGACAGGACCCCCATGCGCATGCGCACAGCTTCCGCGCCGGTTTCTAGAGCAGCGGGCGCAGACGCAGACGTCTCGCTGACTCCCTGGCTCCGCCCTGCTCTCCGCTAGGGGGCGGGGCCAAGGCCGGGCTGGAAGAGCGGGGGGAGGTGGCGGCTGGGCGCATGCGCGGAGAGCTGAGGGGCGGGGACACGGCTTCCGCCTGGCGTGACCAACTTTGGGCACCATGCAGGTAAAGAACCTGGGGGGCCGAGGCCTGGGGGGCCGCAGCTCGTTTGCCCCCCCTGGGTCCGTGGCAGCGGCAGACCGTCTGGGCTGGGACCGTGGGGAGCGCCGGGCGCCACCGGCGCAAGAAAGGTCACGCGAGCCTAGGCGGAGCGCAGGCGCAGTGCGGGAGGGCGGGCGTGGTCCCGCCGGGCGCCGCGGGCTCGCTACCCGCACCCCCGTGAGCCTCGCCCCTAAATCTCAGTCTTTTGGGGCCGTCACGTGGCGTGTGTGAACAGCTCGCCGCATCCCACCTGACAGGGTTACTTCCTGTTTGTTAATTCTCTTCGCACCTGAGCAGGTGTGTCAGGGGCCCGTTGTGTGGATGTGGAAGCTGAGGCGGAAGAGGGAAGGGTCCCGCCTGGAGATCCCATGACGTAATCGGTGTCGCAGCCCGGGTCCCCGACTCCACCCGGAGCCGGGTGAGGGATCTGTTCCATCCTCTCCCTCCCTCGCGCTGGTGTTCGGGTTGAGGTGCGCTCCCTCTCCGATTCCCTGGTTCCCAGCTCAGCCCTACGGTCCTTCTCAGTTACTGTCCGAAAATAGATAAAACCAAACCCCCTAGTTTTGTCCTCTTTTTTTTTTTTTTTTTTTTTTTTGGTGTCAGAAATTTTCTGATGGAATTGGACAAACTTAAAGCGAAAGAAAATGAAGACATCATGGAAATTAGCAAAAGTTTCGGACTAAATTCTGCCCCTTGTCGAAGGACCCTTTGCCAAAGGTCATCCTGCTGCTTCCTAGACCTCACTGTAGTTAGGATTAGTTAGGATTCTGATGGAATCCTCGCTGGCTAAGTGGCACATGAGAATGGAGTTAGTGTGGGTTTGCTTGGGAGCTGGGCAGGATAAGCGTCTACAAATAGTGTGTCTACCAGAAGCCAGACACAAGTAAGTGGCGAAGAGAGAGCTCCAGGGCTGCCCTGGCCTCCTTGGCGTTCTCTGTCCTTTAGAACCCTGCGTTGAAATGTCATTTCTTCAGCGCCTTCCCTGACCACCCCGTTGAAAGGATTCTGTTCATTTTCTTTTTTTAATTTTTTTTTTTGTATTTATGATAGTCACAGAGAGAGAGAGAGAGAGAGAGGCAGAGACACAGGCAGAGGGAGAAGCAGGTTCCATGCACCGGGAGCCCGACGTGGGACTCGATCCCGGGCCTCCAGGATCGCGCCCTGGGCCAGAGGCAGGCGCCAAACCGCGGCGCCACCCAGGGATCCCTGTTCATTTTCTTTTGATAGATCTCAGCAAGACAGTGACGTGGAGTTGGGGCTGCAGCCTGGCTGTTTTAGTGCACTCTCCACAGTGCTCTTTGAGTTCCTATGCCAGACCAGGTCCCTTAGCGGTGTTCTAGCCAAGCCAGGCAAAACCAGTGTTTGACTCGCTAGTTTTGGGAGCTAGAGCCCACTTTGACATGTATCCTTCTGACATTTGATCCTGGTAAATTTGACTTGTCCCAGTATGACAGTGTCTTTCTAAATGTCACGTCTTTTCCTAGGCTTGTGAGGATTTACTAAGTAGGTCCAGGTAAAGGGCTTCAGAGAGTGCCCAGCACCTGGTACTCAGTAGGCGTTAGCCATTGTGAGCTATTCCAAGGGGGTCTCCACTCTTCCTCTCAGGTTGAGCTATTTGAGAATTTGTCAGCCTAGGATCAGGCTCTTCTCCTCCTCCTGACTCTACTGGAGCCACTTAGAACTTTACGATACTTCTATCTCCATTCTTGGGCCCTTTGCGCGTGCTGGTTCCTCTGCCTGGAAAGTAATTTCTTAAGTTCTCATTCCTCACGTCTGCTTCCTTCTCACTTTTCAGTGATGGTTAAATATCTACTTCTGAGACAATATCCCTACCCATTCTGTGGAATGCAGACCTCTTATAACTCTCTGGATCGACAGCTTGTTGATCATTGCACTTGCCACAAGCATTTAGTATCTGTTGAATGAATCACTCTGAAGCATTAATAAAAATATCAAATAGAAGCCAGGTTAGAGCCCTGGTGTGAGAATTGATACTGATTTGCACATCATATCCTGATTTTTACCAAAGGCTATTTACTGGGTGTGTGTCTTGCATGGTGAGGGTGAAGTTGAGTGGACAGGAAAAGAACAGGGCTGTTGGATCTTTTGACACTTTCTCAGAAATAGGCCACAGAATAATTTGGTTTGAATTCCTCTTTCCGCCACCTTTCCCATTCAGCCCTTTCCCCAACATGGCACCCTTTGTAGTGGACTTTGCACTCATAGTGTTTTTGGTCCGCTTCCCCCAGGACCCTAATGCAGACACTGAGTGGAATGACATCTTACGCAAAAAGGGCATCTTGCCCTCAAAGGAAAGTTTGAAAGATTTGGAAAAGGAGGCAGAAGAAGAAGAACAGCGAGTCCTTCAGCAGTCAGTTGGTGAGATTGCTTATATTCTTTATTTGTTCTGTCTGTGGATTGAGAAACAACTTTCTAAGCCTCTAACTGCTTTGGTAGAAGGATGCTCTGAGCAGGGATTGGGAACCAGGGATTGGAGTGCTGGGATAGACACTATTTCTGGGACCTCAAGTGTGTCACAGGCTGTCCTCTAACCTTCAACTTCCTGAGCTGTAGAATTTCCACATTTCCACAGCTTCTTGTCTGTATCAGATGAGCACCTGATAATCCTGAAGAAAATATTTCTGAGTCTTGACTTAATGCCCCATTGATCACAGGGGCCAATACTTTTGTCTTCTTCCATGTTAGAGCTAATTTAGAGATGAATTCACTAGAAAGCATTTATCCAGTGAATGTTTATTGAATAATGATTGTCTACCAGGTGTTATTCTAAGCACTGGGGCTTTTGCTGTATACAGACCAGACAAAACATCCCTGTCCTTATGGGGCTTACATTCTAGTGAGAGAGACAGACAATAAACAAGACATAAGTAAATATGGGAAAATAAGGCAGGGAAAGGGCCTGGAAAGGGTTGGAAGAAGGGTGAGTATAATTCTAGGTAGGGTCAGAGAGAGCCTTACTGAGAGTGACATTTAAGTAGATGGGAGGGAGTTGAACTGAGCTACTTAAGTGAGTGAAGAGCATGTTGGAGAACCAGCCAGGAAGCCAGTATGACTAGGAAAGGGTTGTAAGTTCAGAGAGGCAAGTGGGGTCAAACCACTGAGGACCTTGTATCTTTTAACCAAGACTTTGGCTTTTATATCTAGTGGGGTGGAAGTTACTGGAGGTGTGAACAGAGGATTGACATGTTGACAGCACCCTCCTGTTGCTGCCCTTCCAAGTATGGAAGATGGGGAGGAAGTAGAGAGATGAGTCTGGAAACTACAGTAATTCAGGCAAGAGGCACCATTGGCTTAGACCAGTCCACTTGGTGTTGGTGGAAGTGGTGAGATGTGGTCAGATCTGGAAATAGTTTGAAGGTAGGGCCAATAGGATTTGCTGGTGGATCCTGTGAGGGCTGTGAGAAAAATGAAGTGAAGGATGCCTGTAAGGCTTTGGGCTTGAGCAGCCTGAAGGATGGCATATCCTCCAACCGAGATGAGGAAGGCTTGGTGAATAGCAGTTTGGAGCTAGGATCAGGCGCTCTGTTTGGAACATAGAAACACTGAGATTTTTATTAGTCAAATAGAGATGGCAAGTAGGCAGTTGGCTGTTTTTCTCCAAATCAGAGAAATAATGGGCTGGAGGCATAAAGCCATGAGATGCAATCACCAAGGGAGTGGGTATAGATGTAAAAGGAGTCAAATCAGCCAAGGTCCAAAGGATGGGCAGTCATAGAAGTAGGAGAGAAAGCATCCTGGAAGCCGAGGAGGACCAGCTTCAAAGAGGAAGTGGTGGTGGGTTGGATCAGTGCTACTACCCATCAGTCAGGAAGGTGAGGTCATTGTTGACCCTGGTAAGAACAGTGTGTAGTGATAGAATTGGAGTGGGGGAACAAAAATCTGATTTGATGTCAAGAAGCAAGAATGCTTATGGCAATAAAAATGAAATAAAGATTTTATAGCAGTTGGTTAAAAGAAAAGAGAGCTCCCTATCACTCTGGAGACCAAGACATCCTGTGATGACCCCTTTAACTCTAGAAAGGGTGTGTGGGGGACACCCACTGTATCGTTCCATGTCCTCAGAGATAGAATTGTTAATACACTGGTCCATGGGTGTATGTACTTGAAGAGCAGACCAGGTGAGTTCAGGCAAATACAACTCTCTTGTTTTATGAACTTGGGAAACTTCTCATTCATATACTTACTATTGTGTGGAGGTAGGAGAGTTAGTCCTGCTGCATTTGTCAACATGGTTATATCTTTTTAAAACAATCTCAGGTTCTGATTTACTAGTGTAATACCTTCAGTATTTTTTATTTTAGCTTTGGTGAATGAGTTTTATTTTCGCTTGATGTTGCATGCACATCTTTAGGAGAAAAATAAAGGAGGAAAAACAAAATGCAGGTTTGTTCATCTTTTACATTTTTTGGTTTTTGCTAACTTAACTACATTCAGTGAAAACGTATGAAGATATGACTTTGGAAGAGCTGGAGGATAATGAAGACGAATTTAATGAGGAAGATGAACGTGCTATTGAAATGTACAGGTTAGTGCCACCCAGAGGGACTGTTTGGTTTTTTGTGTGGCACTAAAATGTGTGTCTTTTGAAAAGTTAGATTTCTGCCTGAGATAGCTTTTGGGAAGGACTGTAATTAAGTAGTAATATTGTGGATCTCAGTGAACTGGTCTTAGACTTTTGCCACATGGCAAATAAAGGATCTTTATAAAGGATTTGGATCTTTATAAAGGTTACTGTCTGAAAGGTGTGTGTATATGTGTAAGATGTCGCTCTTTCTCCTTGTGCTGTGCAGGCAGCAAAGGCTGGCTGAGTGGAAAGCAACACAACTGAAGAATAAATTTGGAGAGGTTTTGGAGATCTCAGGAAAGGATTATGTTCAAGAAGTTACCAAAGCCGGTGAGGGCTTGTGGGTAATCTTGCACCTTTACAAACAAGGGTGAGCTGATCTTACACACTGTCCTTAATGTTAATTTGAATTTATGTCTTGAACATCTCAGGCTTAATCCACATTGGAGGTTTGTTGTTTTTGTCATTTTTTTTTACTAGTGTGTTTTGTTGCTGATTTGCCCACACCTAATGTCTAAGTCTTCAGACTTTATTTATTTATTTATTTTTTAAAGATTTTATTTATTTATTCATGAGAGACAGAGAGAGAGAGAGAGAGAGAGAGAGGCAGAGACACAGGCAGAGGGAGAAGCAGGCTCCATGCAGAGAGCCCAATGTAGGACTCGATCCCAGGTCTCCAGGATCACACCCTGGGCAGAAGGCAGACACTCAACCGCGGAGCCACCCAGGTGTCCGGTCTTCAGACTTTAAAATTAACATTTGTGACTAAAAAGAATGCTTTTGTTATATTGTAGCAATGAAGATTGCTTTTATTGAAAAAGAATTCCTATTTATTCTTCTAGAGAAACTCTGGCATTTCAGAATCCCATGTAGTGAATCATTCTCATAGATGTCAGAGGTGACCTTTATAATAATTGTTCCAGGCCAAGTGTTGCAGTGGCCCTCCACTATTTCTCACCTCCAGCCGTATTCTCCTACTGTGCACTTGTGTGGAAGTTTTTTTTTTTTAAAGCAGGAAATGCTTTCTGACCTTTTTCACACCTTCTAAATCTTGAATGTTCTCTCATACAGATGGGCAAAACAATTATCTTTAACATTGAAGCTGTTTTTCTCACTTATTATTGAGTCAAATTAAATTGGATTTTGGATTTTGAGTTCTTCATTTTCCCCGAACATACTAGAAAGTTTTTTAAAAAGATGTTAATTCATCTAGGCTGGAGTAGCAGAATCACTTATGAAGCTATGATGAGAGTTTACATAGGTAGAAGGGTAGTTGAACTTTGCCCTATAGAAATGCAGAATTACAATTGCTTCTATTTCTGTTTTATAGAGTTCCTCTCTCATCATTGTTTCCCATTTCTCTTTTACAGGATTCCCCTCTGTGCCCTCATAAATCAACACTTCAGTGGACTTGCCAGGAAGTTTCCTGATGTCAAATTTATCAAAGCCATTTCAACAACCTGCATACCCAATTATCCTGATAGGAATCTGCCTACAATATTTGTTTACCTTGAAGGTGATATCAAGGCTCAATTTATTGGACCTCTAGTGTTTGGTGGCATGAATCTGACAATAGATGGTAAGAGCCTCTTTGAGAGATGGTCCAGGGCATATGAGGGATGACCAGTGCATGTTATAAATGATGAGAGGATGTTTCTGTTGAAGAGACATGTGTTATGATGATTTGTCAAAGTTACCTTTGCCCCTGTGAGTGAGTGATAAACAGGAGGAAGCAGATTTACTCTCTCATTAGATAAGTCATTGAGGGGATGCCTGGGTGGCTTAGCGGTTGAGCATCTGCCTTTGGCTCAGGGCGTGATCCTCTGGTCCGGGGATCAAGTCCCGCACCAGGCTCCCTGTGAGGAGCCTGCTTCTCCTTCGCCTGTGTCTCTGCCTCTCTCTCTGTGTCTCTCATAAATAAATAAATAAAATCTTTGGGGGAAAAAAAAAGATGAGTCATTGGGGGCAGTTATAACAGCTCTCTAAGAATTCTGTTAAAAGAGCACACTGGGTTTTAAAGTATGTATGTTTAATATTAATGTCTAATATCTTTTGTTTGTCCGTATAGTTGCATATGTTTTAAGTTATAGATCAATATCTCAACATTCATTTTTTGTTTAATTCACATGAATATATTATTAACAGATGCTTAAATATGTATATACATAAGTTGTATACATATATTGGTTATGTACGTGTATAGGTTATATGTATATGTGTGTGTGATTACACACACATATACACACACACCCCATTCATATTTTCTCAGTTGAATATCTTAGTGATTATTAAGTTAAAATTTTATTGAGTTCTACCTCTTAACTCCTGAAGGATGTATCCTTTTATTCCTGAAGGATGTATCTTTTTTATCCCTTTCTACCTGTTATATGAGGTGTCAAAATATGTATACATTCAGGATGTCTGGGTGGCTCAGTGGTTGAGTGGCTTCCTTCGGCTCAGAGTGTGATCCTGGGGTCCTGGGATCAAGTCCTGCATCAGGCTCCCCTTAGGGAGCCTGCTTTTCCCTCTGCCTATGTCTCTGCCTCTCTCTCTCTCTCTCATGAATATATAAATAAAATCTTTAACCAAAAAAAAAAATGTATATACTCATAACATGAAAGATAGAACTTAAGGCCTGAGGGCTTTCTCCTAAGTCACTCATTATTGAAATAACATGTCTACCTGTGCTTTAAAAACATGTTACGGTATGACTTTATATACCATTTTATATAAATATGTAAGGTGCTCAACTGGGATAAGTTTTAACATCTGTGCACATGTATATACAATGCGTGTTACAACAATTATGCATTATTTTAATGTTCAAAGGCATACTGCATTTCAAACTAAGTATATGTTTGCATCTTAGTTTGGTCTTTTAATATACCATGAGGGGAAAAGAGATGGGAATATGATAGTAGGTCAGTCTATATTTCTAGAAAAAGTCTTACCTGAAGATTAGTGAACTTACACTGATTACTGTGTGTAAATGAACAGTAGTATTAATACATACACCGATATATATGTATGTTTAGGTGGATCTAAATATATTCTTGAGTCAAGAATTGGAATCAAGGTTTTTCTTTTTTCTTTTTTTTTTTTTTTTTTGTTCTAAAGAAATTTGCTGAATTTTCATAACATTCACCTCAGGTGCTGAGGACTTTAAATACTGGTATTATTGATCTCCATGGAGCATTTTAATTAATAGAACTTAAATAAAATTGTCACATTTTAATGGAGGTGTCTGATTAGCAGAGCATCACTGAAACCAGGCAGTTTGCTGTAGAGTGTCTCATGTAGTTCCTAACTTCTGTCTGGGGTCTTTTCTGCAGTGGAAAATATATCATTTGATTTCACTTCACAAGGTCTCATACCCATATGGAGTTTCATTGGATCCTAAGAGAGTGAAATATAGGAATTGAGGCTTTGGTTGCTGGTTCTTTATTTTCTTGGTATTGTTTTTATTACTTGGAGCAAATTATAAGTTCTAGGATGTCATCATACATTTATCCTTTGACTCTAATAGATTGAGATACTGGAATGAGGCCTAAGAATTTCCTTTTGTTAACTAAAATTAGATTTAATGATCAGATTGCCAGCAGGACTGTGAAAAGTATTTCCTTTAAATGCTTCTTGCTGACTTCTTTCCTGGAAAATTGTGTGAGTTGAGAAACTAGTCATTAGAAGACAGGTTTAGTCTTTTTTATTTTAATTACCGTAGATTCAAATATATATAGTATCTCATTTGATCTCCTTTTCTAAAAAAAGTACAACTATTTTGTTTTCCTTCTTAAAGGTCTGACTTTTTTCCTTTCTAGATGCCTTATAATTACAGCACTAAAATTATTGTCAAATATTGCTGCATAGTTCTGCTTAGATAAAAACTGGCTTGATGGGCTTGAGGGTGAGGGTCCTGTGCTTACTGTCTTAGGTAATTTGGTTTTTCTTTATCATGTAGAGTTGGAGTGGAAACTGTCAGAGTCTGGAGCCATCAAGACAGACTTGGAGGAAAACCCTAAGAAACCAATTGAAGACACTTTGCTATCCTCAGTGCGGTGCTCCATTCCCACAAGAAGGGACAGCGATTCTGAGGATGACTAAGACTGTGGCCTTGGTAATGTGCCAGACTCCTTGATGTGACAAATCATCTGGATTTTTTTAAAAAGGAAAAAATAGAAATTCTTTTCAGCTTTTAATTTTTTTACAATTATGTTTCAAATCTCATAGATCTCAAAAATCATTATTGCTGAGAATTGTGTTACATTTCTTAGAACTCTCTTTTTAAATGAATAACCTTTCCATAAATAAACAAAAATCCAGCTATTGGTATGACAGATGTCTAGGTTTTCCTTACTTATATTTTAAGCTATGAAACTGTTCACCATTTATCCACATATAGCTACATAAGAGTGAATGTGAAGTGTTTTTTAATAATGTGACTAAATTATACAGTGGAAAAATTGCAAACTAAGCTTTATAGTTACATTATCATTTATTTTTGCTTTATAAGGATAGCAACAAAATTACTAAAAAAAGTTTGATAGGAAAAATTTTAGTGTTTGTCTTATTTAGAAGAAATAGGCAATAATTTTTATAAAACATTGTCTTAAAAAAATAAAAAATAAAACATTGTCTTTTCTTTTTTTTTTTTTTTAACATTGTCTTTTCAAAAGAGTAACTGAAAGATTCCAGTTTCTTGCCATTTTTGGTTAAATGTTTTTTTCTAGTTAAAATAATTTTTGTCTCAGCCTGAGATGTCAGTTAATCCCAATTACTGTAAAAGACCACCTTAAATTTTTTTGTAGACAGATAATAGCACATAAAATGATAAACTATATCTCAATCAGTAAAAAGCATCAAAGTATTTTCTGAAGTAGAATCCTCTTAGCGTTTAACACTTCTTGCCAAATTAACATTAACAGAAAAATTAGAAGAAGTGTTTAATGTTTATGTTGAATGATGTAGTATTTAATCTGGGTTTGAATCTTAAAACTAAGAATTATGGAAGGCCTAGAGTTCCTTCAGATTACATTACAAAATTTATTTTTGCTGTAATTCAGAGTAACAAACAGCTGTGACCCATTTTTATCTGTCAGAAGTGTTTGTATTAGTGAATATTTGTTTTTCTACATATGAGAGCCAGTGCTGCTTTTAAAAATGAACTCATCTAACAAATTTACTTTGAAGGATCTTTCATGAAATTTTAATTGCAGGTTGATACAAGTGTGGTCAGTTCTTTCACTTGCATGATAGTTCCATGGGTTTTGTGGGAGAGCTGCCTCTCATTTTCTATTGTTAGCTGACATTAAAGTGAAATGTTGTGGGAAGAATAAAGGTGAAAATCTAGAGTGCTGCATTTGACTGAGAGCTGCAATGCATACAGCTCTTGAGAGAACACTGCTTGAGCGTGGTGGGGGGCAGTGTCCACCGTGATGGAAAACAGCAGGCTTTATTCCACTGTGGAGCTCATGCAGGATGTACTTCTAAATGTTCACTGTGCCAATTTGATCTCTGTAAGTTTGAGAACTGCCTCATCATCCTGCCTCTCTGCTAGGCTAAGGCTTATAGTGTGAGCTCAACACCAGCTCCGGGGTCTCTAGATGTGGCTGGTGAGCCCTTTCTGGCCACATGGCACCCAGGCCCCAGGCAGCTATTTAGTCATGCTGGCTGAACTTGATTTAAATAGAAACATCTCTCTTCTAAAAATCAGTATTGTGATTTAGAACCTGACCGGCAAATTTCTGTAAGTTAATTTTGGGAGACTTTGCTATTTACCACTAACTTTCTATTTCATGTGGAGCATTTGTGATGTGACAGGTGATACAATTTGATGCTTAAGCATTGGGTTTATCTAATTCCACAGCAGAAACACACAGTGATCAGGGAAGGCAAACAAAAAGGATACCTAGAGTCTGTCTTCCAGTGTTCGGAGGAAAGGTTTATAGGAAGTACCAGGTAGCCCCCCACTTTAAAAAAAAAAAAAAAAAGACTGTATTTACTTATTCGTGAGAGAGAGAGGCAGAGACACAGGCAGAGGGAGAATCAGGCTGCATGCAGGGAGCCCAATGTGGGACTTGATCCCTGGACTCCAGGATCACGCCCTGGGCTGAAGGCAGGTGCTAAACTGCTGAGCCACCCAGGGTTCCCCAGGTAGTCCTTTCTTAAATGATTGGTAAGAAATGGTTCAGGAAAATTGGGATAATAATTGGGAGAAGTGAAATAGAACAAGGCTAATCAAATAAAATTGATTCTTCCTTATTTTCCTTATTTGTAGAGGAAGGAAAGGCTGTAGATGAGTTGTATACTCCTATCTTATTGCAAACCTCAGTTTATATCCTCACTTCCCAAGGTGGCTGACCATGGCTTCAGCAGATATCTACCACAGAGCTTCCAAGGTGGGTGGCTCAGAAATACTTCAGAAGAGTTGTACTGCATATGAAAGGCACTTTAGGAGAGTTATGAAAAGAATGTTAAGGGTGTTCTTTATTACCGATGCCTAATTTTTTTTTTTTTTTTTTTTTTTTTTTGCCATTTGTTACCTCCAACTTTAGATTCAGTTTTCTTATGTAACGAGACCAGATTTTGACAAAGTGCTTTTCAAGTGTGACAGGCCAAATGTGTTGTGACGGTGTTGCCTACTTTAGAATCATGTTTCTATGAAATGATTTTCTCCTGCTTATGGAAACCAGTTTTTACTCATAAGTATAACCTTTTTGACAGGTGGCTTTCAACATGCATTTTTGGTACTGTTTACATTCACATTCACACAGCAGATGGTCTGTCTTCTGCATGCTGACCCCCCCCCCACAACTCTGTGACCTCCATAGCAGACCTTGTCATGTGCACCCTTTGAGGAAGCCCCTTGGCTTCCAGTCTTACCATCCCATACCGACAGAGTGGCCTGTCTTCTCCTTCTGTTCCATTTGGTCTCAAATGAGGATGTGTCTATTCTCCCAAGTTGAAACTCTCCTTCTGTGCTTTTGACCTCACTCTCTCCCACATTCTTCAGGACTTTGTTCCAGGAAATTATCCTCTTGATTTCAGTCTCTCCCTTGATGGGGAACCTCAGACAAGTGAGAATGTTTAGGTTCTGTGGCAGAGACTACTACTTGCCTATCGTGTATCCAGGATTCTCCAATTCTACCCCAAGAGCAATAGGAGCAGCTAAAAGATTAAACTTCCAGCCTTCCTGGAGCTATGGATTGCCAGATGGACGGAGGTGGGCAGAAGTTGGCTACAACAGATGCTTCTTCAGAGGGACAGACAAATGGCATGTGCCCTTTCTGGACTTAACCCCCTTCTGCTGACAGAAGTGTAGTTGTGGATGCAGCCTTCTTGGGCCAAGGGCTATCTTTATAGAGGCAAAGCTATAAGGATAATATTCCTGATGACACCGTGGAGCCACTGTAAGCCAGTTCTGGACAGCCTTCTCCAGATTTCTGTGACTGGGAAAGAAGTGACTTCCATCCTGGTCTCTCTTAGTAGCCACTGACACATTTCCTGATAGAGTCACTCACCTACCCATCACCAAAGGGAACCTCAGCCATTCTAGCTTTCTGCTTACCACTTCCACATGGCTTGAGAAAACTGAAGAGCAGTCTAGAGTACCTACCTCTACTTCATCAGCATTGTCTTTCAGTAATGTCAGGAATTAGACTTTAGAGCTTTGCATTTCCAGTGTGTGAAGGACTAGATATTCTGAACAACTCATGTGATAATAACTCAAAATATTGGATAAAAGTATTTTTTAGTGTTCTAAAATGTTGCTGACAAGAAAGGAAGGCATTCTCAGAGGTCAAAAGCAGTTTAAATTTTCATGGTACGTGTGGCTTCAAAACCTCTCCAACCAAGTTCTTAAAGTGGTCCTAAGATGGTAATGCCTCTGAGCTCATTGCTAAAGCAACTGCATGGAAGTTCTTGCTGGAAGAACACAACTTTAACTTAGTCTTAAACACACTACAGATAAACCTTCAAAGGAACGTGAGTTCATAGTCCTAAATCACAAATCCACAAATAAGGTATCCTGAATGAAAGCCAGCAGAACACAGATAATACAGTCAGACCTGCAAAGACTTAGGATAGTGGAATTTTCAGATATACAATATAAGATGAATACATTTAATATGTAATAAGTAAAGAATAAGAGTTTCTGGGGTGCTGGGATGGCTCAGTTAAGCCTCTGACTCTTCGTTTAGCTCAGGTCACAATCTCAGGGTTGTGCAATGAGCCCCCTTACATTGGGCTCTGCTAGTGGGGAGTCTCCTTCCCCCCCTCTTTCCCTTTACCCTTCTTTTAAAACACACACACACGCACACACACAACATTCTCAAATCTTAAATAGGAGTTGCTTATATAAAAATTAATCCCTTAAAAAAAATTAATCCCTTGTCAAATAACCAGTGGAAGAGAAAATGAACTGGAAAGTAGAGCCAAATAATTACCCAGTAGGTAACACACAGAGAAAATTGGTAGAAATGTAAAACTTAGGAAAGATGTGGAGGAGAGACAGAAGATCTAACATATGTCTTAGAGTTTTGGAAGGAGGGAATTGGAAATTGACAATATTTGAAAAGATAAAGACATTTTCTAGACAAATGAAAGATACCAACCTTCAGAAAGCTATACAAATCCCAAATGAGTTACATATATCTACACCTCTGTGTGTGTGTGTGTATAAAACTGCAGAATGTCAGATTTGTACAAGCAGTCATTGAGAACAGTCCTGTTACCCACAACAGAGTAGTAGTAGGACTTAACTGACTTAGCAGCAAGGACAGCCAGAAAGAAAAAACAGCACAAACTATTAACCAAGAATTAATACCCAGCAACGCTGTATTTTAGGAATGAATATGAAATTTCCTACAGAATGAGTTTGTCACCAATAGACCCATCACTAAAGGAAGTTTAGAAGATGTCCAGTGACAGATAATGATCTGATGAAAGTTCAGAGAGGTTTCACCAAGAAAGGATGGTGACCAAAATGTAGGTAAATCTGAACAAACACTTAATACAAATAATGCCTTATTTGTGATGTTAAGAGCAAGATGGAACTAAAAAACAGGACAAAATAGGGTACAAGTAGAAGGCTCAATTGTAGTTTTTTTTTTTATTTTTATTTTATTTATGATAGTCACACAGAGAGAGAGAGAGAGGCAGAGACATAGGCAGAGGGAGAAGCAGGCTCCATGCACCGGGAGCCCGACGTGGGATTCAATCCCGGGTCTCCAGGATCGCGCCCTGGGCCAAAGGCAGGCGCCAAGCCGCTGCACCACCCAGGGATCCCTCAATTGTAGTTTAAATGTTCTTAGGCCCCTAAAAAGTATTGGGGAGGT